ATTTCAGCCGCTAAGTGGAAGGTTCGGCTCCACGCATTACCGTCTTGTTAGTGCTGATCTGCCGGACGGGATCCAACTTATCGTACCCAATTCTCTCGGTGCGGCCAGGCGTACGAGGAAGCTATTCTTCGATTCGGGGCAATTGGTGAGAAAAGCGATGAGAGAGAATGAAAGAGATATGGAGGGAGACGGAGTAGGAGTGGGTAGAGAGTAGGGGGAAGGGAGAGATGAAGAGGCGGGAGAGTGTAGGGGTGGAAGAGAAATATATATACACACACACACACACACACACACACACATATATATTATATATATATATATATATATATATATATATATATAATATATATATATATATATATATATATATATATATATAATATATATATATATATATAATACATATATATATATATATATATATATATATATATATATATATATATAATATATATATATATATTATATATATATATATATATATATATATATATATATATATATATATATATATATATATATATATATATATATATATATATATATATATATATATATATATATATATATATATATATATATATATATATATATATATATATATATATATATATATATATATATATATGTGTGTGTGTGTGGTGTGTGTGTGTGTGTGTGTGTGTGTGTGTGTGTGTGTGTGTCTGTGTGTCTGTGTATGTGTATGTGTGTGCGTGTGTGTTACTTCGTCAGGGCATATGCCCTGACGAAGCAATAGTGAAAAGGCCTTCGGCATATTCGTGTGTTTTCTTGCCCTTCCCTCCGTTGTTCCTGTTGCAATCTGTTCACCATGAATTCCACACGTGTGTGTGTGTATGTATGTGCGTGTGTGTGTGTGTGTGTGTATGTGCGTGTGTGTGTGTGTATGTATGTGTGTGTGTGTGTGTGTGTGTATACATATGTACGTACATACATTTATATATATATATATATATATATATATATATATATATATATATATATATATATATATGTGTGTGTGTGTGTGTGTGTGTGTGTGTGTGTGTGTGTGTGTGTGTGTGTGTGTGTGTGTGTGTGTGTGTGTGTGTGTGTGTGTGTGTGTGTATATATACATATTACGTACATACATTTATATATATATATATATATATATATATATATATATATATATATATATATATATATATATATATATGTGTGTGTTGTGTGTGTGTGTGTGTGTGTGTGTGTGTGTGTGTATATGTGTGTATGTATATGTATATGTATATGTATATGTATATATATATAAATATATATATATATATATATATATATATATATATATATATATATATATATATATATATATAAAAGATATGATATAAGATATAAGGATATAAAGTTAAAAAAGAGCATCGCATGAAAGAGAGAATGCCTCAAAGCCGAAACCGAATTACCCTCCCAAAACAGGATTAAATTCCTCCCATTCTTCCCGCCAGAACCACAGAGGATTGGGCTTTGACGTCATAAAGATGGCCGGGGAGGACCGAGACCGCTACGTCATAGTCCACAAAGCGAAGGACTGCGTGCTGTTCCTGAGCCTCCGCGGAGAGCACTCAGGCCCAGGTATGCCGGAGCTGGTCTTTAACCCGCAGTACCCAGGAAGCTCCGCCCACTGGCTCCTTCAGCCCTCGCCACGCCCACTGTGACGTAGTGATGACGCAGTGATAATTAAGAGAAGGGATGAGAATAGATTAGTTTTAATTTCGTATATGAATATTTATGATTAGAAATGCGAAATATATGATGATGTGAATTATTTATGTAGATGATTTGGGTAAAAAAGATAATAATGATTGTCCTGCTGATAGTACTACCGCTACTGCTAGTAGTGATGATTGTAACTACGATGATAATGGTAAAAGTAATAAAGTTGATATCATCGACTACAATAAGAATTATCATAACGATAATAATAATGATAACAATGATGATGAAAAAATAATGATAATCATGATAATCAAGAACATGATATATATTAGTAACGATAATGATAATAATGAAAACAATGTTAACAGCAACAGTCATAATAACAATCATAATCATAAGAATAATGACAATAGTAATATGGATATGAAAATGATGCTAGTAATCATTATAATTTTAATGATAATGATACTAAGAGTAACGATATAAGGATAATAACAAAATAACAACAATGATAAGAAACAATAATACTATTATTATAATTGTTGTTATCTTTATTGTTAGTGCATTGGTATTGTTGTAATCATACTCATAACAATACCAGTGATAATAGTATATAGTATTAGTAATGATGATAATTATGACCATGATGATAATGCCAATATAATGATAATAGAAATAGTATTAGTAGTAGTAAAGATGAAAATAATATTAAGAACAATGATGATGATAATAAAAACAATAATGATACGGATGATGATGATGATGATGAAGATGATGAGAAGAAGGAGGAAGAGGAAGAGGCAGGAAGAGG